ATAAGTGGTTATGAATAGGGCTGTGTACATGAAAGTTTATTTCCAATCAGGTCCTCACAGCTCTTTGGACATTGTCTTATTATTTATTAGCTTTCGCCAGCCCCTTTTTATTGTATTATTATTATTACTGTTAAGTAGGTCTTTGGTAACATGGATTACTGGTCAGTTACGAGCCTAAACCTTTAGGAGCGGGCTTGGGTCGTGACAGTTACATTTTAAGTTAATAATTTTGTACTCAATTATATTTTGATCTCATTATTAATTATATTGTGCCTTTAGGTACGGACATACACTAGTAACTATGCATTTAACAATGTCTAAAAAGATTTTAAAAATTAAACTTGATTTCAAATTAAAATGAAATTGTATTCTCTTTTGAAAAAAAGAAGGAAGTGTTATTGTGATAGTTTATTTAAAATTAAAAGCAAAGCGACAGCCATCAAATTATTGCCAAGTTGACGACAACTAGAAATTTGGTTTAAGAAAAAAAACCCATAACTACCCAAAAATAAATAAATAAATAAGGATGAAAAGAAGTTGAAAACAAAGAGGACAAATATTTCGGTTAAGAGGCCCGTAGAGAATTGGAGCCTCAATTCAAAACAACTTTGCTTGCTTGTGTACGAAACCATAACTAAACCAAACGTAAACCAAATGTAGGTTAGAGGGTGCTTTAAGAAGATGGTTAAAAGTTAATTTTTTGATATTTTTATTATTTTAGTTTTCTTTTTTGTGAAAGAGAAATGGATTAAAACGTGGGATGTGACTTTTAACTTATTTTCTAAAGTTGTTATTTGACAACAAAAAAATAAATTAGTTAACTTTTTGAAATTATGACTTTTTTAGTTTGAGATTAAAAAATTTATTTGATTTAATTTTTTTAACTTTTATCAAAAAGAAAATAAAATGATTATAATTTAAAAGTGACATTTTATTTTATTTATTTTTTAATAATTAATTTAATTCCAACCCACTCTAATCCAACACAATCCACATAGCCAAACAAAACCTAAAATAGAGCCCTTGCTTGATTAGATTCTTAGAGGTCCACCAGCCAAAAGCTGGCTCCACCTCCATAAAAAAAAATATATGATTATTATTCACTTTGTATTCTATTTTCATAACTCATTTTTTTAAAAAAAATTATTTTTTAATTTTTCGTAATTTTTTTGGTTTTCATTAAATTTTTTTAATATTTTAAGCAATTTTTTTTTTTAATTTTTAAAAATATCTACCATAAATATACTTAAAAAATATAATATTTGTGAAAAAAATCTTTAAAAAATTTACTAAATATCAAAAATACAAAAATTTAGTATATTTATAAATTTTTTAAAATATTTTTTCACAAATATTTTACTATTTAGATACATCTAAGTAAGGGAAAAATTTTTTTAAGGTCCCTAATAACAGTAATTTAGAGGTTAAAGGACATCAAAACAAAAAGATGATGAATCAGGTCCCTCAACTAGAACGCGAACATTTTTAATTCTTTCTTGAACCAGAATACTCTTCACAAATCAACTGACAGCACTCAACTGGATTCCGACGACTGAGTTTCATTTCAAACATTCAACCATCTTCACGAGCAAGAGAACAAGAGATTTAAGGTTTCATAAAAATTTTCACTATCAATATTAGGGTTTCATTAGCTTCTGCGAAAATCTTTTCCATTCCTACCTCACAAATTTCTTTGACTCCATTTTCACTATTCATCATCATTTCAGTTCATCTTCATCTCATTGCATCTTCATCTCAGGGCATATCAGTTCGTAATTAAGATTTCATCCTCACTCTAGTAAGTTTTCTACAATCGCACTAGTATTTCTCTGGAAATACAGTTAATTGCATATTATATTAGCCTTCTATTAATTAGGGTTTCAATTTCATAATAAAAAGTTACATTAATTTGAAAAATGTTATTTCTCTGAGTTTTGAACTTATTCTTGCAGATGTTTGTGTGATTTTGCCTGTAAATTTCTCTGGCATTTGAATTTCTCTGGTATTTTCTTGATATATGTTTTTTTTTTTTAATTTTCTCTAGCATGTTTATTCCCTATTTGTTTTTGTTTATTTCCCTATTTTCTCTAACATGCTTAATTTCATTCAAATTTCTCTGCTCTATAAATTTCTCTGACATTTTCATTTTCTCTGGAATGTGAAATTTACTCAGGCATTTTCATTTTTTGTGCTTGCTAAATTTATATTTCTTTTTTGAATTTTTTCTGGCTATATTTTACATCTATATGTAATATTACTCTCTTGTTTATGTCTAAATTTCGCTGGCATTTATAATTTTCTCTGGCCACATTACTTTTCTCACTTGTGTGTCTCTGTCATGTTTAAATTTCTCTGGTTGTGTATGTAAATTTCTTTGGCATTTTAATATTATGGAATGAAAATTTTCTCTAGCTGTATTTTACATCTATATGTAATATTACTCTCTCGTTTGTGTCTAAGTTTCTCTGGCATTTATAATTTTCTCTGGCCACATCACGTTTATCCCTTGTGTGTCTTTGTCATGTTTAAATTTCTCTGCTTGTGTATGTAAATTTCTCTAGCATTTTAATATTATGGAATGGTAATTTTCTCTGGAATGTGTAATTTTCTCTGGCATTTTCATTTTTTGTCTTTGCTAGATTTATGTTTCTTTCTTGAATTTTCTCTGGCTATATTTTACATCTATATGTAATTTTTATCAATTTTTGAAATTTTTTCTATCATGTTTATGTTGCTTTGTTTATTTTCTCTAGGAATGGAAATTAGTTGTGGCAACATGTATTCCACACGAAAACACTTAGTATTCTCTTGTCTACGTTTAAGTTTCTCTGGAATTTATAATTTTCTCTGACCACATTACTTTTCTCCCTTGTTGATTTCTCTAGCATGTTTATGTTGCTTTGTTGATTTTCTCTAGGAATGGAAATTTTCTGTGGCTAGATGTGTTCCACAGGAAAACAATTAGTACTCTGACATTTAATTTTCAGTGTATAATTTTGTCTAACATTTATAATTTTCTCTGACTACTTTAGTTTTCTCCTTTATGTGTAATTTTATCTGACATGTTCAATTTTCTGTATCATGTTTAATTTTCTCTGGGATTTAATGTTAACATCTTTATATTTTCATTATCTAGAAATGACGAAACACAAAAGCAGCAAAACACCAAAAATACCACGAAAGAAACAGAAACTCTCTAAGGCTTCTTATAATCTTAGATAAAAAAGCAGCAAAACACCATAGACTCCTCGCCAAAAAACACAAGTCCAAGGTGATGAAGCAACTAGCATTAAGATGAATACCCCAACTTCAAAAGACTCAAACTCAAGGGGGAAAAAACTTGTTAAATTCCAAAGAAAGAGAGCTTATTACAACATTCAATACCGATCCAACCTCTCATCTGTTGTCTCCTTTTTTCAAACCCTTAAACTCAATTCAAACCAACTTGAAGAGCTTCAAAAGACTCCATTCTGGTATTTGATCCAAGCTCTAACCACTGGAAGGTTGAATCCAAAGAAGTCTAGGAAATCTGATGATGATGTAGTTGCAATAATCCAATGTTACAATGAAAAAATGAAAGCATTCACAGTTGGTAAAAAGAACTTGACCTTTACAACCAATAGCATGACCTTGATTTTTGGTTTGGAAGGTTGTAAATGAGCTATGTCATTGAGATACTCAAAAAAGCCAAACACTGTATTCCTAAGGCTCAGATTCCCAAAGGACACAAGGTTCACTGGTCCTGTTCTTAAGAATGTCTTGGTCAAAGCAATGAAAGGCAAGTAATCAATTGACTTTAAAGATGTAGCAATCATTGTTACCTTGTACTTGTGTCTCATCCTATTTTTTGCAACAAGTGGGAATTCAATAGGGTGGGTTTTTATCAAGTACATAGAATCTCTTGAATAAATAAAGCAATATGATTGGCTAGAGGCAATCACAACAACATTGATCGATTCTATCACAGCATTTCATAAAACTCTAGAAAAAGTTACGGGGTGTGTCATTGCATTGCTTCCATTCAAATTTACAGTTATGATACTTACAAATTTGTGTTTTTAGCAAAATTTAATTACTTCAATTTTCATCACAGTATTGGCTATGTGAACATGCGAATATCATTGACTGAGAAGACAGTAACACAACTGAATTCCCAAGATGTGCCAAATGGAACCTGTAAAGCTTGACCAAACAGCTGCAGAAGACACTAGTCTACTCTCTTGCACATTGACAGGTTAGATTTATATAGCCACTGAAATCTCAGTGAAATTTCAAAATTTCTCTAACCACTGGTTTGTTTCCCTCCTTGTGCCGTGCTTGATATGATCAATTTTCTCTGCGATGCAATATCTTATATGGAATAACTTATGTGTCTTGACTGATTGAGATCAATTTTCTCTAAAATTTCAATTTATGTTGCTTTTTTTTTTTATTGTCACTAGTTTATTTATGCCTTTATAATGAATTCTCTCTAGAATCCAAATTTCTCTGACCACAATTATAGTAACATTAACTTATATACCTTGATTGATTTTCTCTGATATCTAAATTATGTTGCTTGTTTCATAATTTTCTCTGGCCCATAAAATTATTTCTCCTTATGTGTAATTTTCTCTGGCCCATAACTTATGTGCCTTGACTGATTGAGATCAATTTTCTCTGAAATTTGAATTTATGTTTCTTCTTTGATTAACACTATTTATTTCCACCCTTGTAATGAATTTTCTCTAGAATCCAAATTTCTCTGACTACAATTATAGTAACATTAACTTGTATGCCCTGTTTGATTTTCTCTGATATCTAAATTATGTTATTTGTTTCATAATTTTCTCTGACCCATAAAATTATGTCTCCTTGTGTGTAATTTTATCTGGCCTATACAATTTTCTCTATAGTTTGTTTCCCATTAGTATGATATAGATGAATTTTATCTGGCTTCTTTGAATTTTTCTCTCAGTGAATTTTAAATATTTCTCTAATAAAAGAGCCTCCTTTTACAGATAGATAACAACGAGCTAGTTAAAAACCAATCAGAGGAGTTTTCTCTTGGTAAAAAGAAGAAGAAAGAATCAAAAAATGCATTAGTCAAATTCAAGGAGACATTAGAAGAGTCATATGAAGAAGAAGGAGAGAATGAAGAAGGAGAAAGAAACATAGAAGAACAAGAAGCAAGCAATGGAGAAGAAGATCAAGCAAGCAATACAGAAGAGGAAGCTAAAGAAGAAAATTAAGAAGTAGAAAACAAAGAAGAAAATGAACAGAAAGAAGACGAAGACAATGAAGAAGAAAATGAAGGCACTGAATCGAAGGAAGAAAAAGAAAACAATGAGGAAAGGGGTGATGAAAAACATAATGAGCCGATGGACTGACATTATGATAGCATTTGTGGCTCGATAATGCATCAGCCTCAAGAATCTGAGGAATCAAAGGATGTTCAAATTCCTAATCCACATCAAAGAATAAAGCACTTTCTAAATCCAAAATAGAAGAAGAGAAGAATTAGAATCAATTACTTTAAGAAAAAGACATTGCAATAAGAACCTTGAGATCAAATAACTCGAAACTTCAAGAAAGAGACAGCACAAACTAAATGAAACTAAGGATGTTGGAAATTCAAAAAGAAGATGATAAAAAAAACAATTCAACAGTTGAGATGTTCAATTTTAGAGCTTAAAACTGAAAATGCTAGATTGCATAAACAAATTCAAGAACTATCTATCCAACTAGCAACATAACCTTACTGAACACCAACACAAGTTCAACCCCAAGGCAAGTGAAAATCTTGAACCACATAACTCAGAGAAATTTCTATTTATTATAATTTTCTCTGTCGATGGTAATTTTCTCTAGAAGTTAAATTTCTCTGACCACGTTAGTTTGGCCAGTTTGATTTCCGCTGCTTATTTGATTTTCCTTGACTATTTGGTTCCATATGTGTGTAATTTTCTCTAGATTTTGCAACTTCTCTGACCACGTTGATTTTTGGGGTTTGTTTGATTGTCACTGTGTATAGTTGGAATAGAAGTGGAACAACAACTAATAACCCAGCAAAAACAAGTGACACACAAACAACAACCAAAACAAAAGACAAAAGTCTATGGTAACTAGAAAATATGTAATCAAATAAATTTACATATTGAAATGTGATCTATTACTTCAAAGAAATTTAACTTTTACTGATATTTTCACTGTCTATAGTGAAAAAAGATCCTACATCAATGATAAATAATTTAAAAGCAAAAAAAATGAAAGAAAAATAAGATCCAAACTTTCAATATCCCAAAGTTGTGAAGATTAGAGGTTCAAAGCAAACTGCAAAGCCAATAAAGCAAACCACCAAAGACAAAGAAGTACTTGATGCCGATGACTATGTCTTGCCTCCACCAACAAGCATCAAGAAATCTTGGATTTTTCCACAAAGTCTACCAGTTGCAAAATTGGTAAAAAAAACATGTCAAAGATATATTGTAGCACATATCAAATGTGTCTTGTAATGCCCCAAATTTCTAGCCCAAATGATAATACAACAATCATGGCTCTTCCAAAGAAAACCGAATATAAATCTTCAGACTTACATTACATGATACAATAGTTCTTCATGCAACAATACATTAATCCAACAACAAGTAAATAAACAAATAAATACCCCTGAGGTTTACAAGTTTTCAAGGCTTGAGCCAAGTTACATAAAACGGTTATTCAAACTCACATACATACAGCCCTTGGCTTACACACAGAGTCACAGTAAAATGAGAGCCCCGTACTCTCGACACATATTTTCTCGCCTTTAGTTAAAAACCTGTAGGATGAGCATAAAGCCCAGTAGGAAATCCTTAATAAAGTATATACATTTATACAAGTCTCAAGAGATGAAATGCACATGCCATGCTATGTCCTTTTGAAAGAAAATCACATCTTCATCTTTGAAAACTATCATGCTTAATGATGTCATGCAATTTCAATTCTTTAAAACTTAACAATTCATTTCAAGAGCGGTAAATACAAATCTGGTAATCTTTAAGTCAGTGTCAGGTTTTCGGTCTTTCACCCCAGACTCTTAGGCCAACTTATACAATATCATCTACACCACCTATCAAGACTTACCAACGTATTTACCCCAAAACCATTCCATAAAAACTTGTTTCTCAACATTCTTTTCTCAATGCAAGTTTTCACATCAACTTTCAAAATTTAATGTAATCAAATGAATTGATATGTGAATAATACAAAATGAATATAAATACTTTTATTCCAATTCATCATCCAAGGAATAACACAATTCCCTCTTCTCAAGTATCCTCAACAATTAGTCATTTCAAGATTATTTTAACGTTTTAAATAATAATTTCCAAAATGAACAACAATTCTCATATTCCTTGAAATTCATCATTTATATAAATATAAATAAGAAAATTTTCAAACATCCATTTATTTGGACACATAAAATAAATACAACAATATCATTCATAGATTTTCAATCTCTTTTAAAAAAAAATTTCCAAATTCTAAGTTTTCTTACAAAAACTATACAACTCAAATCCTTTGAAAGAAATTTTTTCAAAATCATCTTTTCTTCAATCAACGAAGATCAAAACCCATAAGATCATTTTAAAAGAGCAAGAGACAAACCCACTTTCAAAATCGCTCAACTTCTTAAATCAACAATAAATTTTCAAAGCTATTGAAAGATGATTTTGAAAATCATGTAGATCTTGCAAAAATATATATATAATTCTAAGAAAATCCCTACCTCAAGTTTCGAAGAAGAAATGAGATGAAACCCCCAAAATCAACAGTGTCGAAACTCGATCTTCACTACACACAACAAAGCCCTCGAGATGATAACCAACTTTGGTGAAGAACTTAGTTCTAAATCCCAATGGATTTGGAGAAATCAAAGAGAAAAGATGACTTCTAAATAGAGAAGCTCCCGATTTGGAATTCTGGAGAGTTTTAGAGAGAGAGAGGACTGAAAAAGTGATCTGAAATATTAGATTCATGAACTGATATAACATGGTCCGCTCGAGCGTAGAAAGCCTCGCTCGAGCGTCAAATACACTTTTCCAGTACTTTTGTAGACAGGTTAAACTTCTAAAACCAAACAATCTCTGCTCAAGCGCATAAACGGATGTTCGAGCGGACAAGCAACTTTGAATGCATTTTGCATTTTTGCTTTGGAGGCACTGCCTCTCGACCCCGCCAGGGTGCTGCCCTCGGACCCGCCAGGGGCTCTGCCCCCTAGACCCCCGCGAGCTGACCGGATAGCTCGATCCCAGACCGGCCTAGTCGAAGTGGAAAAACATGAAAGAATAATCAAAATTGGGATCGCTACATGTCTGGACTAGAGTAAGTACAACAAATAAAATAAAAGATAACAATTAACAATTTACTAACTTATATTGCATTAACAACTATTAAATCCCTTATTTATCATCTTGTAGGGCTTTAATCTGGACAAGTGAGTTGAATCTAATTACTTTTAAAGATATCGGAAACCTAATAAAGGAAAAAGAAATTGCCAACAATGTAAGTGTTTCATCAAATTTCTCTGCAATGTTCCATCAACCTTTATAAACCAATGTTACAATTATAAATGATATTTTTCAGGTCATTGATAGTTATGGAGAGATATTATTCGCTAACCAAAAGAGAAAAAGGACAATAACCAACTTCATTTTTTTTTCACATGCATCAACTTGGTATGTTACTTCTCTTTTATTTGATTTTCTCTGAAATTTACTTACTACTTTCTCTTGTTAAGATACTTCTTGAAGCTAGTTGTGTCAGCAGTCTAATTTCCTCTGGCTAGTTATGTACATTTAAAATTTCTCTGTGTACATTTTTGAAATTCCTGTCATTTCAACTTTCTTATAACAATTTTTGATTTTCTCTAACCACAGAACTTCATCAAGATGATGGAAAATTAAACTTTTCGAGTCTTATTATTTGACAAGCATCTTGAAACCGCATTAAGGAACTGCAGGTTCCTTTCATTTCCCAATAAATACTGGGGGCAATGAGAAGTAAATAGATGGAAATCACTGGACCTGGCTTGTCTTGGAAAAATAAGACAATTTATGGAGGTACTACAACTCACTAAGGCCAAGAAGGGATGATGCACAAGACAAATATCTCAAAGATGCAAAACAATTGGTAACGAGTGTAAATTTTTCTGATCCATGATAACGTTTATATGATGATAATTTTTATAGAATCCCATTAATTTGTGTGTAAATTTCTCTATTAGTTAAAAAAAAAAAATTTGCAACAAGATTATGTGAAGAATTTTTTGAAAGCTTGTCTTGAAAGAGATGCACAATCACAACCCTCTTTCAAATTGATAGACTCACAAAACACAAATTATGACTTTCAATATGTCAATAATACTCCACAACAAGATAGTGATTCGTAAGTTTCATACAACATCTATAAATAAGATAATCTAATTTGAATGTTTCTTAACACTAACAATACCTATAATTTGTATGCAGTATGGATTGTGGCATCTTTGTATGCTATATAATTAGACAATATATCAATCATGAACCTATCAACTCGACATTATTGACATAAGGCGTAAGGTTGATGAGGGCAAAAATCATAGAGAGATTTGGGACCAAAGTTGGCCGGTCATGGACAGAACCAATTCAAATACCACCAGGAGAAGAACCAAAAGTATAACAATGAAAGCATACTAGTAAAAGAAAGACAATGCACACAATGTAATTAGAAATAACTCTTCAAAAAAAAAAAAAATTCATACATTGAATGAATGATGATGTTTGACATATATGTATATATCTTTTTTTGGCTAATGCAAATTTCATAGCTATTAATGGTTAAATATATATTTTTGTATAATGTATGCTAAGTAGTGATTGTCAACACAATCCACATAGAGAAAATCGTCTTAAGAAATTTCTCTGGTATAAAGTTAATAGAATTTCACAGAGAAATTTAACTCGTATCGTGCCAAAAGAGTGCCTATATAATCATGTAATTTGTAATGCACTGTGTTGGTAAAAAAAAATCATTAAATTCAAAAAACACAATGCACACCGTAATTTTCTCTGCTATTGGCAAATTTCTCTAGATTAATTTGACCTCACTAAACACAATGCACAGAGTAATTTTCTCTTCTATTAGTAAATTTCTCTGGATGAATTTGACTGGGGTATTATAAATACACTGTCTATAATATGTTTCAACAAACACAATGCACATAGTAATT